CCAAAAGGTTGTGGGTTCAATTCCCAGTCAGGACACATACCTAGGTTTCGGGTTTGATCCCCAGTCGGGGTGGGTGCAGGAGACAACCAATTGATGTTTCTCTCTCACATGGATGTCTGTCTCTCTCTCTCATAAATAACCATATCCTCAGGTGAGGATTTTTTTTAAAAAGCCATAGCCTTTGCAATGACCTCTAAGTAGGGTGCTCATATAATTTTTCATTTTTGGTAAGACACTTGAGAATGAAAATGGGCCCTATTAATAATTACAAAATACCAGGAGTAAACCAGGGCTTGGGAGGCCCTGCAAGGTCTGCTTCCTCACCCCTTTTGGTCTCACCCCTCACCCCCACTCCCCTCCAGCCACACTGGCCCCTTCAATGTTCCTACACCCATCAGGCAGGATCCCACTCGGCCTTCCAGCTTCCTGTTGGCACTGTATCTAAAATACTGAGCTCAACAAACACTTCCTGTTCCCTTCCCCTGTCAGTCTCCTCTTCAGCACTCATCAGGACCATCTAACGGACCATATGTTTTGCTTGTTTATGTGCTTTTATCACTTGCCTCATCCGCTGGACCGGGAGCCCCACAGGGCAGGGATCTTTTTGGGCCCTCACCACTTGCACCAGAGTTGGCGCCAGTGGCGGCTACGGCATGCAGGTGTTTGACTGGGAGGCTGGAGGCTCCGGGGTACCCTCTGGAGGGGACTTGGGGTGACATGGCTGCCTCACGCCTTTGGGAACCTGGTATAGGGGAGTCCTGGATGGTGAGACAATCTAGCTGAGCAGACCCATGGATATGCTATGGTGGGGACATACGCTTCGGTCGGGGCGTACATGAGAATCTAGGGACCCTGTGGCGGGCACAGAGAACACCCAGTGGTCAAAAAAAATGCACAGGGCCCTCAGGGGGCCCTGGAAGTTTCTGTGGGGACACAGGGGATCCTACATGCACCTATGGGACCAAGCTGCTTTGAAAACACCTGCCCTGGGCGGTGGGGGGATATGAGTCAGAAAGGGGACCCCGGCGGGCGTGCTCCGGGGCCTGGAGAAACGGAAATTTCCGAGTCGGGTCAGCAACTTCCCGAATTCCTTCCTTCCCTCTGCCGCTGCCCCTCTGCCCCTCCACCGGGCCCGTCCTCCAGGCATCTGCCCCGCGCCCTGCGCACCCTTCTCTCCCGTCTTCGTCCGTCTGTCCGTAGCTCTTCCCACCTCTCCCCGCGCCTTCCCCGCGCCCGTTTTCCGCCCCCCGGCTGCGCACCTGCCGCCTCGCCCGTCCCTGCCTCCCCACCTGGCGCCTTCCGCGGCTCCC